CCAGAGTTATAGTTGTTGGAATTATTGCTATATTGTTGCATGTTGTGATTATCAATGAATTGTACCGACTCCGGATTGATTGTCCATTGATCACTCAAATGGTTCTCAGCACACAATTCACAAATAACTGCCACACTTTGAATAGGTTGCACCCCTAAAACATCAATCTTCTTTGTTAATGTAGCAACTTGTGCAGCAAATGCAGTAACTGCATCCACTTCATAAATCCCTGCTACCTTTGGCTAATTGATCCTTGCAGAGAGCCACTAATAATTGTTAGCAGCCATCGTCTCCAACAACTCGTAAGTTTCATCAAAATTTTTCCCCATTAATGCCCCACCTGCAACTGCATCGATACTAATCCGGGTAGCACTAAACAACCCATTGTAGAATGTCTGAACTTGCAACCACTTAGAAGTACCATGGTGAGGATGTTTTCGTAGTAAATCTTTGAATCGCTCCCAATCTTCATAAAGAGTCTCAGAATCATGTTGTGTGAATGATGTGATGTCGTTCCTCATCCTTGCAGTTTTAGTTGATAAAAAAATTTAGTTAAAAATTTTTGAGCTAAATTTGTCCACGTAGTAATAGAACCCGGCGATAATGAATGCAACCAACTCTTCACCTTATCACGAAATGTGAAAGGGAAAAGTTGGAGTCTAATTGTATCTTCGGAAACCCCATTGTATTTGAACGTGTCGCACATTTCCAGAAAACTCACCAAATGATCATTTGGGTCGTCGTTAGGCAAACCCCTAAACTGAACTGAATTTTGAATCATTTGGATGGTACCCGGCTTGATTTCAAAATTATTTGCTTGAATTGCGGGCCTTTGAATGCTTGATTGTATTTCTGTAACAAGCGGCATAGCATAATTCCTTAGCGATTTCTAGGGTTGTTAAAATTCGACACAACACAATTAACCGACACGAATTAAACGGGTTTAGGTGAGATCTTGACGGATTTGAGTGATAAACGAGTTGACACGCCAAACACGTTTAATAAACGGGTCGTGTTCGGGTGAAACCTGTCAAACCGTTTATTACATATTTACCCGTTTAAATAAAATTAATATAATAATAAATTAATAGTTATTTTAAAAAATTAGCAAGAAAAAAAAAAGTAAAGAAATCAATAAGAAAAAAGAAATAAAGTAGTAGTTCAAAGACAAAAAGAGAGGAGATGGGGAGCACTTCAAAGACAAAGGCAAACCAATGTCTTTTGTTTTTATTCCACATTGAAAAATGAGGGGAGATGGGGAGGGTTGATTTACCTATAAAAAGCAATGACCTCTTGCTTTTTTTTTTAAGCTTTCAAGTCTTATTTTTATGAGATATGAGATTTGGCTAAAAATTTCTCTTTTTTGAGGTAAGTGCAATTGACAATAAAAAAAATAGAGTATTAAAATTTGTTAATATAATTTTTTTAAAAATTAAACGAGTTAAACGAGTCGTATCTTTTTACCCATTTATTAAACGGGTTATGTTTGTGTTAAGATTTTTTTACCCATTTATTAAATATGTCGTATACGGGTTTATACATTTTTCACCCGTCACCGTTTAACCCGATACGTAACCGTTTAACCCGACACATTTGACAACCCTAGCGATTTCTGTTCTTCTTCGGCCATAGCTTCTTGGTTGTTTACTTCTTGACACTGTTTTCAAAAATTTCGGGGCCTTCTTTCGATTTCGTCTTTGAACGGCAGTAGNATACGTAACCGTTTAACCCAACACATTTGACAACCCTAGCGATTTCTGTTCTTCTTCGGCCATAGCTTCTTGGTTGTTTACTTCTTGACACTGTTTTCAAAAATTTCGGGGCCTTCTTTCGATTTCGTCTTTGAACGGCAGTAGCTCCTGACCTGTGCATCGTGTTTGCAAACAAAATTCAAGAGTGCTTACAAAAATAATTAAACAGTAAAGGAAAACATAAAATTAAATAAGTTTAAACTAAAATCAAATTGATTGAAATTAATATTGAAATAATTACTAGAATAAGTCCCCGGCAATGGCGCCAAAAACTTGTTGTCCGAATTTGATATTAACAATTTACGTGCATGTATACACGATCAACAAGTAATAAAGTAATAAGTAGAGTATCGTTCCCACGAAGAATTATTGCCAACAAATTTCAAGTACTAACTTTATATCAATTCAATTTTATTTAAACAACTGGAATTGAACTATGAATTTACTAATGTAAAACTAAACCTAAACTTAAACTTAATAATCAAGGGTTGAATTTACCGGGTAAAAAAACTTAAGATTACAACTTCTCCTAATGCTTCATATAAATCTTTCTAACTCTCTTTCCAGTTAATTGATCAAAATAAGTTGTTAACCGAGAACTCAAAGTTATTTATCAAACATCTTCCGATAGTTAGATAAAATTATCTATCCCAATTAAATTACTATATTCCTATGCAAAATAAGTTAGAATAGATTCATTAAGTTCAAAATCTCATAAAAGTTATACACGGCATGTAGGTATATTTCTATCATATACACAAACTCAGCTATTCAATTCTAAGAAGAATTAACCAGACGCATGTTATCATATTTAGATCTAAACCTAGAATTCATCTCCCAATTTCATCTAGGTTATCAAACTAATTGTTGGCCACACAATCATACATCAATAACAAAATATGACAAACAACTCATATAAGATCAATAAGAACTAGAAACGAGAGTAGATTAATTTAGCTAGACATAGGTTCCGTTGCAATCTTAATAATAATTTAGTTCATAACGTAATTGAAAAACATCATTCTAAAATTAAACATCTTAGGAAATCAAGAAATAAAAGTAAGCAAAGAATGAAAACTTAGGTGCAAGCTTCAATCCTTCTCTAGCTTTCAAGTCCAATCTTCTTTGTGTCGATTCCTTCGATTCTTGTCTTCAATTTTCTTCCAATTTCTTGGCTTTTTCAGATGTTTTCAGCCCCTAAAAGTCAGAATATATCATCCACACACAAACCCTAGCATATATGTAGCTTTAGAGTCCAATTTCGGGTCAAAAATAAGTCAAAATTTGCGTTACAGACCAACACATGCGTGGGGACGCCATAAATCTGTGCAAGGGCGTTATAAGGACAGTAGGTTGGCGCAGGGGCGCACCCCCCTTTGTAGGCCTAAAATTGCCCTTTAGCTTCCTCTTCCAAAAAACCCCTTTTAATCATAATTCCTTCCAAATGATCATTCCTACAAAAATAACATCAAAACACACAAAACAAATAAAAATGAACATAAAATAATTGAAAACTTACAATTTTATCAAACCGAAAATACTCAATTCGTAGGTATAAAACTCACTCATCACCTACCCACACACACACACAACCATCGCACACAACAAACACACCCACATACATCGCATAACAAACACACCCACCCACATAGTAAACACATATCGCACAATACACACACACACACAAATCTATGTTCAGATCTATATAAATACATAGATTAGTAAATATATATAGATTTGCTGGAAAGAGATAGATAGAGAAGATGAGTTGCAAGAGAGAGAGAGAGAGAGAGTGTAGCAGGAATTCATTGTCTACCTTCGGCCTTCGTCGGTGCTCGTAGTGTTGGTGCTCTTTGGCATCGTCAGTGCTCTTTCATCGTCATGCTTTTGAGGGTTTTAGGTTTTATATAATAAGGACATATATTTGTATCTAATGAGATTCGATGGTGAGATCTCATTAACTAGACCCTCTTGTTTCCCCTGTCTTCTCTCTTCTTTTTTTTTCTGAAAACTTGTTCCCAAATTTTACCAAAACATCCCCACTTGTTCTCTAAAACTCTAACTCAATTCCCACTTTTTTTTTCTAGAAATTAGATATTGAAAAAACTTAACCAAATAGGTTTTTCTTATTTTTGGAGTTTTAAGAACAAAAAATTGTTTTATAAACACAAACCAAATATGGTCTTTATTTTCTATCTTTTTGAGATAGGTTTCTCAAAAGCTTCTGCAATCGGACCATTATATTCTTGCATTAGGAAGTACGAATATGGATACTGATGCGATACAATACAGATACAACGATATAAAAAAATCTGAAAAAATAGAATACGAATATTAATACGATACGATATAGATACGACAATATGACAAAACTTAAAGAAAATCGGATACGTATACATCTAAGATATGTCTAAAATAAAATCTATTTTATATTTTATTATTATTTAATAACTTAAAATTTACAAATTTTAATAGTTATTTAACAATAGTAAGTAAAATTAGTAATTTTTAACTTGAAAAATATGTAATATTATCTCATGAATATATATCGATAAAATAAACTCAACCAATTGGAAGAATCATAAAAAATATTTAACTAGTTGGTTTGTTTATCATTATCTATTTCTAAAATTATAATATAATTAACTCATTTTTTTATATTATTTTGACATGTAATAATAAATAATACTTTAAAAACACTTGTATCTTCAAAATCAAATAATTTTTTTTTGATATTTTATATTGTATGTAAACCCGAAAAAAGAGGCTAGATATTAAAATTAAAAATTATACATCTTATTCCATATGTAAAAGTATTCTCAAAGTAATCACATATTTTATTAATTATCAATTACATATGATGTGTATCCGATACGGATATTTCAACCTCGGCGAAATATCCATGCGCATAATTTTCTAGGAAGTTTGCTACTAGATAGATTCTGCTATACTTTCACAGACAGGCACACCGCAAGCACATGCACTATATACAGAATAACGTGAATTTCTTTCAAAGTGGTATCTTACCCTGTAGAATTCTAGTGCCATTACTAACTGGACTTCATGCTTAAAATTGGGGAGATCAGAATGACTACAAGTATACAGATATCTCAGAATAAAGAGCCCAGAATAACAACCACAGGACATGAGATCAAGCACGTATCTATAAAGAGACCAGAATAAGTACCAAAATACATGAGATCGAGCACATAGTTAAAATAATACTCGCACGTGTAAATATATATAAGCTCAGGTAATAAGCTTGCGAGTAGAGTTGCACCACCGGTCGTACGAGGTTTGCAGGTTAGGCCAATCTGAGGTGGACATAGTGAAGTCCTGCAACCAATTTGTGAGTATTACTTCTTGATCCATGGATGGTAAGCCAGAGATCATTTCATCCATTATCCTCTCCATTTCTGCCTTCTCATAGCCCGTCAGGACTGGATATGCAAGTCCGTTGTCTGCGTAGCAAAACAATGGAAGCCAAAGCACCAGCAGCCTAATCTTCACTTGCCTAGGGACCTCCAGCTTTGCTCGAATAAGCTCTCCAAGTAATATAGCTATGCATGAATGAACATTATTTGATAATTTCAGCCGACAAACAAGAAGTTCCACTAGTTCATCATTAAGACTAAACTTGGTTTGTAGAGTATGTGCCCATATTTCCATAGAATTAAATTAAGATGATAATGAGGTCATCTTAGCATTTCAACTTGGAGCATCTTGGGTTCGTGATTGCCATAAATATGGCCACTTGTCACTTTTCATCATGGTCCAATGAATTCCAATAATGTTATGTTGACTAAATTTTGAGATTAAATTAAGAGCTCAAATGACATGACAATATTTTATTTAAAATCTTTATTGGGGCCCAAATGACATGATATCAAATAAAGAAACATAAGTCAACTGTCATGTCATTTAGACTCTTGATTTGATTTCAAAATTTGGTCAGTATAACATTTCTCAATAAATTCATTCCTATTTTGTGCTCAAAGCCCCCTTTTCTATTCTTGGATGTGACAAATATTAAATAATGTATTTTTTGGCAAGGGTGTTCCAAATATTTTTAAGGAAAAAAGTAATTTTTTTCAAAAAACAAAAACTTGGTTATAGCCTAACAGAAAAACATACTATTTCACTATAATACGTATGTGTTATTATATATGGATAAAAAGAATGTTATTGAAACCTAATTTATTAAATTAATTCACTATAACATTTGAATTGATTATGAACCTCATCAAACATTGAAACTTGGTGTTAATTCAATAGTTTTATTAAAGTCACATTATTAAATCACCAAATTAAGTTATATTTTTACGTTAATTTGATAAAATTTGATGGTAAAATTTTATGTTAATTTGGTAAAATTTGATGAAATTTAATGTTGATATAATAAAATTGAATGTTAAACTAATAAAATTGATAGTTAATTTTGATTAAATTGAGTATTAATTTTATGAAATTAAATATTAATTTAGTATTAGTTTAATTAAATTGAATGCGAATTTGATTGATTAAATGAAATTTTGAAGAATATGAATATTAATTTAATAAAATTTGATGTTTGAGACTGTTGTTGATGGCTTAGGGCATATATAATGGAGCAAAGGGTTAAAGACATTTTAGTTTATTAACATAATAAAGGGTAAGCTTGGCATATGGTAGTGGAAATTGCCACACATAAAACTTCAATTAAGATTTTAATGCCGAATAATATGACATAATATTTGTAAAAGAGCAATGCTATTGAAACCAAAAATTTTAAATCATATCATTATGTCAACAAATTAGATCAAATTTTTATGTCCAAATAACATTATTCTTTCTATAAATATCATAATCCTAATGATTCTTTCTTTTGAATAATAAACAATGCTATCCTGTACTGGCATTTACGTAAAAGAATTACAGTGAAAATTTCTTACCTGAAATTTTGACAATGAAGCCTTGGACCCTAGGGCTGGCAGTGAGAGAAAGGGAAGCCAGAGCCGAGGCTAAGCTCCACTGCAGCAAGGCATCATCCACTACACCACACTCGCACATCTTATTAGCTATCCACAAAAGCTCCTGGGCGTATTTCTCCCCCAGCACATGATTAGAACCCTCCCTGCCAGCTATCGTTAGTTGCCTCTGCTTCTCCAAACCACAGATGCCACTAATGGACGGAAACATAGCGCTAGCACATAAGCCGAGACCCTTCACCGAAGAAGCTAAGTAGGAGCCTAATGGCAGAGCTCNATAAATACATAGATTAGTAAATATATATAGATTTGCTGGAAAGAGATAGATAGAGAAGATGAGTTGCAAGAGAGAGAGAGAGAGAGAGTGTAGCAGGAATTCATTGTCTACCTTCGGCCTTCGTCGGTGCTCGTAGTGTTGGTGCTCTTTGGCATCGTCAGTGCTCTTTCATCGTCATGCTTTTGAGGGTTTTAGGTTTTATATAATAAGGACATATATTTGTATCTAATGAGATTCGATGGTGAGATCTCATTAACTAGACCCTCTTGTTTCCCCTGTCTTCTCTCTTCTTTTTTTTTCTGAAAACTTGTTCCCAAATTTTACCAAAACATCCCCACTTGTTCTCTAAAACTCTAACTCAATTCCCACTTTTTTTTTCTAGAAATTAGATATTGAAAAAACTTAACCAAATAGGTTTTTCTTATTTTTGGAGTTTTAAGAACAAAAAATTGTTTTATAAACACAAACCAAATATGGTCTTTATTTTCTATCTTTTTGAGATAGGTTTCTCAAAAGCTTCTGCAATCGGACCATTATATTCTTGCATTAGGAAGTACGAATATGGATACTGATGCGATACAATACAGATACAACGATATAAAAAAATCTGAAAAAATAGAATACGAATATTAATACGATACGATATAGATACGACAATATGACAAAACTTAAAGAAAATCGGATACGTATACATCTAAGATATGTCTAAAATAAAATCTATTTTATATTTTATTATTATTTAATAACTTAAAATTTACAAATTTTAATAGTTATTTAACAATAGTAAGTAAAATTAGTAATTTTTAACTTGAAAAATATGTAATATTATCTCATGAATATATATCGATAAAATAAACTCAACCAATTGGAAGAATCATAAAAAATATTTAACTAGTTGGTTTGTTTATCATTATCTATTTCTAAAATTATAATATAATTAACTCATTTTTTTATATTATTTTGACATGTAATAATAAATAATACTTTAAAAACACTTGTATCTTCAAAATCAAATAATTTTTTTTTTGATATTTTATATTGTATGTAAACCCGAAAAGAGAGGCTAGATATTAAAATTAAAAATTATACATCTTATTCCATATGTAAAAGTATTCTCAAAGTAATCACATATTTTATTAATTATCAATTACATATGATGTGTATCCGATACGGATATTTCAACCTCGGCGAAATATCCATGCGCATAATTTTCTAGGAAGTTTGCTACTAGATAGATTCTGCTATACTTTCACAGACAGGCACACCGCAAGCACATGCACTATATACAGAATAACGTGAATTTCTTTCAAAGTGGTATCTTACCCTGTAGAATTCTAGTGCCATTACTAACTGGACTTCATGCTTAAAATTGGGGAGATCAGAATGACTACAAGTATACAGATGTCTCAGAATAAAGAGCCCAGAATAACTACCACAGGACATGAGATCAAGCACGTATCTATAAAGAGATCAGAATAAGTACCAAAATACATGAGATCGAGCACATAGTTAAAATAATACTCGCACGTGTAAATATATATAAGCTCTGGTAATAAGCTTGCGAGTAGAGTTGCACCACCGGTCGTACGAGGTTTGCAGGTTAGGCCAATCTGAGGTGGACATAGTGAAGTCCTGCAACCAATTTGTGAGTATTACTTCTTGATCCATGGATGGTAAGCCAGAGATCATTTCATCCATTATCCTCTCCATTTCTGCCTTCTCATAGCCCGTCAGGACTGGATATGCAAGTCCGTTGTCTGCGTAGCAAAACAATGGAAGCCAAAGCACCAGCAGCCTAATCTTCACTTGCCTAGGGACCTCCAGCTTTGCTCGAATAAGCTCTCCAAGTAATATAGCTATGCATGAATGAACATTATTTGATAATTTCAGCCGACAAACAAGAAGTTCCACTAGTTCATCATTAAGACTAAACTTGGTTTGTAGAGTATGTGCGCATATTTCCATAGAATTAAATTAAGATGATAATGAGGTCATCTTAGCATTTCAACTTGGAGCATCTTGGGTTCGTGATTGCCATAAATATGGCCACTTGTCACTTTTCATCATGGTCCAATGAATTCCAATAATGTTATGTTGACTANTATATTTCTGTAACAAGCGGCATAGCATAATTCCTTAGCGATTTCTAGGGTTGTTAAAATTCGACACAACACGATTAACCGACACGAATTAAATGGGTTTAGGTGAGATCTTGACGGATTTGAGTGATAAACGGGTTGACACGCCAAACACGTTTAATAAACGGGTCGTGTTCGGGTGAGACCTGTCAAACCGTTTATTACACATTTACCCGTTTAAATAAAATTAATATAATAATAAATTAATAGTTATTTTAAAAAATTAGCAAGAAAAAAAAAGTAAAGAAATCAATAAGAAAAAAGAAATAAAGTAGTAGTTCAAAGACAAAAAGAGAGGAGATGAAGAGCACTTCAAAGACAAAGGCAAATCAATGTCTTTTGTTTTTATTCCACATTGAAAAATGAGGGGAGATGGGGAGGGTTGATTTACCTATAAAAAGCAATGACCTCTTGCTTTTTTTTTTAAGCTTTCAAGTCTTATTTTTATGAGATATGAGATTTGGCTAAAAATTTCTCTTTTTTGAGGTAAGTGCAATTGACAATAAAAAAAATAGAGTATTAAAATTTGTTAATATAATTTTTTTAAAAATTAAACGAGTCGTATCTTTTTACCCATTTATTAAATGGGTTATGTTTGTGTTAAGATTTTTTTACCCATTTATTAAATATGTCGTATACGGGTTTATACATTTTTCACCCGTCACCGTTTAACCCGACACATTTGACAACCCTAGCGATTTATGTTCTTCTTCGGCCAGAGCTTCTTGGTTGTTTACTTCTTGACACTGTTTTCAAAAATTTCGGGGCCTTCTTTCGATTTCGTCTTTGAACGGCAGTAGCTCCTGACCTGTGCATCGTGTTTGCAAACAAAATTCAAGAGTGCTTACAAAAATAATTAAACAGTAAAGGAAAACATAAAATTAAATAAGTTTAAACTAAAATCAAATTGATTGAAATTAATATTGAAATAATTACTAGAATAAGTCCCCGGCAACGGCGCCAAAAACTTGTTGTCCGAATTTGATATTAACAATTTACGTGCAAGTATACACGATCAACAAGTAATAAAGTGATAAGTAGAGTATCGTTCCCACGAAGAATTATTGCTAACAAATTTCAAGTACTAACTTTATATCAATTCAATTTTATTTAAACAACTGGAATTGAACTATGAATTTACTAATGTAAAACTAAACCTAAACTTAAACTTAATAATCAAGGGTTGAATTTACCGGGTAAAAAAACTTAAGATTACAACTTCTCCTAATGCTTCATATAAATCTTTCTAACTCTCTTTCCAGTTAATTGATCAAAATAAGTTGTTAACCGAGAACTCAAAGTTATTTATCAAACATCTTCCGATAGTTAGATAAAATTATCTATCCCAATTAAATTACTATATTCCTATGCAAAATAAGTTAGAATAGATTCATTAAGTTCAAAATCTCATAAAAGTTATACACGGCATGTAGGTATATTTCTATCATATACACAAACTCAGCTATTCAATTCTAAGAAGAATTAACCAGACGCATGTTATCATATTCATATCTAAACCTAGAATTCATCTCCCAATTTCATCTAGGTTATCAAACTAATTGTTGGCCACACAATCATACATCAATAACAAAATATGACAAACAACTCATATAAGATCAATAAGAACTAGAAACGAGAGTAGATTAATTTAGCTAGACATAGGTTCCGTTGCAATCTTAATAATAATTTAGTTCATAATGTAATTGAAAAACATCATTCTAAAATTAAACATCTTAGGAAATCAAGAAATAAAAGTAAGCAAAGAATGAAAACTTAGGTGCAAGCTTCAATCCTTCTCTAGCTTTCAAGTCCAATCTTCTTTGTGTCGATTCCTTCGATTCTTGTCTTCAATTTTCTTCCAATTTCTTGGCTTTTTCAGATGTTTTCAGCCCCTAAAAGTCAGAATATATCATCCACACACAAACCCTAGCATATATGTAGCTTTAGAGTCCAATTTCGGGTCAAAAATAAGTCAAAATTTGCGTTACAGACCAACACATGCGTGGGGACGCCATAAATCTGTGCAAGGGCGTTATAAGGACAGTAGGTTGGCGCAGGGGCGCACCCCCCTTTGTAGGCCTAAAATTGCCCTTTAGCTTCCTCTTCCAAAAAACCCCTTTTAATCATAATTCCTTCCAAATGATCATTCCTACAAAAATAACATCAAAACACACAAAACAAATAAAAATGAACATAAAATAATTGAAAACTTACAATTTTATCAAACCGAAAATACTCAATTCGTAGGTATAAAACTCACTCATCACCTACCCACACACACACACAACCATCGCACACAACAAACACACCCACATACATCGCATAACAAACACACCCACCCACATAGTAAACACATATCGCACAATACACACACACACACAAATCTATGTTCAGATCTATATAAATACATAGATTAGTAAATATATATAGATTTGCTGGAAAGAGATAGATAGAGAAGATGAGTTGCAAGAGAGAGAGAGAGAGAGAGTGTAGCAGGAATTCATTGTCTACCTTCGGCCTTCGTCGGTGCTCGTAGTGTTGGTGCTCTTTGGCATCGTCAGTGCTCTTTCATCGTCATGCTTTTGAGGGTTTTAGGTTTTATATAATAAGGACATATATTTGTATCTAATGAGATTCGATGGTGAGATCTCATTAACTAGACCCTCTTGTTTCCCCTGTCTTCTCTCTTCTTTTTTTTTCTGAAAACTTGTTCCCAAATTTTACCAAAACATCCCCACTTGTTCTCTAAAACTCTAACTCAATTCCCACTTTTTTTTTCTAGAAATTAGATATTGAAAAAACTTAACCAAATAGGTTTTTCTTATTTTTGGAGTTTTAAGAACAAAAAATTGTTTTATAAACACAAACCAAATATGGTCTTTATTTTCTATCTTTTTGAGATAGGTTTCTCAAAAGCTTCTGCAATCGGACCATTATATTCTTGCATTAGGAAGTACGAATATGGATACTGATGCGATACAATACAGATACAACGATATAAAAAAATCTGAAAAAATAGAATACGAATATTAATACGATACGATATAGATACGACAATATGACAAAACTTAAAGAAAATCGGATACGTATACATCTAAGATATGTCTAAAATAAAATCTATTTTATATTTTATTATTATTTAATAACTTAAAATTTACAAATTTTAATAGTTATTTAACAATAGTAAGTAAAATTAGTAATTTTTAACTTGAAAAATATGTAATATTATCTCATGAATATATATCGATAAAATAAACTCAACCAATTGGAAGAATCATAAAAAATATTTAACTAGTTGGTTTGTTTATCATTATCTATTTCTAAAATTATAATATAATTAACTCATTTTTTTATATTATTTTGACATGTAATAATAAATAATACTTTAAAAACACTTGTATCTTCAAAATCAAATAATTTTTTTTTGATATTTTATATTGTATGTAAACCCGAAAAAAGAGGCTAGATATTAAAATTAAAAATTATACATCTTATTCCATATGTAAAAGTATTCTCAAAGTAATCACATATTTTATTAATTATCAATTACATATGATGTGTATCCGATACGGATATTTCAACCTCGGCGAAATATCCATGCGCATAATTTTCTAGGAAGTTTGCTACTAGATAGATTCTGCTATACTTTCACAGACAGGCACACCGCAAGCACATGCACTATATACAGAATAACGTGAATTTCTTTCAAAGTGGTATCTTACCCTGTAGAATTCTAGTGCCATTACTAACTGGACTTCATGCTTAAAATTGGGGAGATCAGAATGACTACAAGTATACAGATATCTCAGAATAAAGAGCCCAGAATAACAACCACAGGACATGAGATCAAGCACGTATCTATAAAGAGACCAGAATAAGTACCAAAATACATGAGATCGAGCACATAGTTAAAATAATACTCGCACGTGTAAATATATATAAGCTCAGGTAATAAGCTTGCGAGTAGAGTTGCACCACCGGTCGTACGAGGTTTGCAGGTTAGGCCAATCTGAGGTGGACATAGTGAAGTCCTGCAACCAATTTGTGAGTATTACTTCTTGATCCATGGATGGTAAGCCAGAGATCATTTCATCCATTATCCTCTCCATTTCTGCCTTCTCATAGCCCGTCAGGACTGGATATGCAAGTCCGTTGTCTGCGTAGCAAAACAATGGAAGCCAAAGCACCAGCAGCCTAATCTTCACTTGCCTAGGGACCTCCAGCTTTGCTCGAATAAGCTCTCCAAGTAATATAGCTATGCATGAATGAACATTATTTGATAATTTCAGCCGACAAACAAGAAGTTCCACTAGTTCATCATTAAGACTAAACTTGGTTTGTAGAGTATGTGCGCATATTTCCATAGAATTAAATTAAGATGATAATGAGGTCATCTTAGCATTTCAACTTGGAGCATCTTGGGTTCGTGATTGCCATAAATATGGCCACTTGTCACTTTTCATCATGGTCCAATGAATTCCAATAATGTTATGTTGACTAAATTTTGAGATTAAATTAAGAGCTCAAATGACATGACAATATTTTATTTAAAATCTTTATTGGGGCCCAAATGACATGATATCAAATAAAGAAACATAAGTCAACTGTCATGTCATTTAGACTCTTGATTTGATTTCAAAATTTGGTCAGTATAACATTTCTCAATAAATTCATTCCTATTTTGTGCTCAAAGCCCCCTTTTCTATTCTTGGATGTGACAAATATTAAATAATGTATTTTTTGGCAAGGGTGTTCCAAATATTTTTAAGGAAAAAAGTAATTTTTTTCAAAAAACAAAAACTTGGTTATAGCCTAACAGAAAAACAT